ATACTACCCATGTTAGTAGTGCTGCTATAAAAAGAATATTGTAGTTGTTTTCAGTACAGTTTGACCAATATAACCGAAATTGGCTATGTTTGAGTTATCAGATAGCTCAGAGGAATCTAATGGAGAAGCTGAATGCTTTATCTTCTGATACATAAACTTCAGCATCACCTGGAAAGCACAGCGCAAATATTAGTGACAACCCTGAGGTTTAGTTTAGTTGTGTGTTTTTTTTGTTTGTTTGTTTGTTTTTGTTTTTTTTTTTGGGGGGGGGGAGGAGGGAGAATTGTTCATTTGCAAGGGGAGTCTCTGAGGAAATACTGTCCATCCTCAGATAATTCCCATGATCTTTTTGAGAAGACACGGAAGGTCTTTGCATTGCATTTGAACCTTGGTGAACTGCCCTCGTGAAGACATGCAACTTTTGCTGTTAAAGTTCAGAGTTGACGAGCAAATTTGTTTAATGTAAGTCAAGACAAACACTTAATTGTGAAATCCAGACTAAAGGTTATGCAAACATCAGTGGTTTCTAGTGTAGAGTCATTAATTTATTTGGTAATGCAGTGTTTGTTTAATGTGCACGTCAGTGAATTGGATGAGCAGGTACATAAAAACAGCAGTACTTTCAAAGAGACTTGGACTTGAGTATTATGTTCTTTCACTCCAGAGGAGTTGGATTTTTAGGAGACATGTCAGTTGCCACTCTGAAAATTGAAATTCTTAAGATGTATGAACTTAAAATTTGTTACAGAAATACAGGCCTTGAACATCTCAGGTGCTGTCAAATGTATTGTGTCCAGGTCATCTTTGTTGAGGATTTCACCTCAGAATGCTTACCAGCAGTGAATATTATGACATATGAAGTAAAACAAACTTTAATTCAGGTCGAATTTGACCCGACAGAAATGCATCTCATGTGAGTTCCAATAACTATTTAAGATCTACATTTCTGCAACGTGTACATCAATGTGTGAATTCCTGAGTTCTGGATTTTAATGAATTGTTTATAAACAAATGAAAGTCCTGCAATTTGGGAGTGTTAAATAAACTTGTATCATGTATCACGTTACTACAGTAACAGTTGTTTCAGAACAGCTTTAGAAATAAGCTGTTATTTCCTGAGGGATGTAAATTTACCAATTGTTTGCAAACTCTGGTGTCTTAGAGATATGTTTGCTTTTTAAAATCATCACTTGGACTGTGTTTTGGGATGGGGGTGTTCAATGACTCAATTGATTGGACCGATTCTTGAATTAAGTTTTTGGAATATAGCGTTATCGAGAGAGGCTATTGTAAAATACTCAGTGAATATGACTGAGTTGTCCCAGTGTAAGAAAGGTCTTCACAGTTGTGTTCAGTTCCTGGCTTTGTCTCTGATTTGCTCTATAATTTTGGATAAATCACTTTGTTTTTGTAAAGTGGCGGATATAACTCATACACTCAGATAGTGTTGCCCACGTTGACATTTTGGAAAAGGAAAAAATGTTGACTTTTCTTAATATTTTAAATTGTTGAAAGTTAAAGTGCTAGGGGAGGAAGACTACTTTAGTAGACCTCCTGTAGTACGGGTTTTTTATATATACTGAGTGAAGGAATTTCATCAATCCTGCCAGAAGAACCAGTCAAATTCAAGCAAAGCACCATTCTGTACATGTTTGTGCTTTCTTTGCTGTTCTAGGAAATTTTCTGTTCTAGGCATACTTATAGTAGTATACTATAGTATACTAACTGCATTAATTCTTCTTGCTCTCATTTTGTTTGCAAACTTAGAAAAAATGCAGTTTTAGAGGAGGTAGTGTCTTCCTCGCTAAAGTG